GGGTGGTGTAAGCACAGGTTTGAGATCTATTTGATCTATTTCGAAAGTGGGTATATCCGTAAGTATCTGGAAAAAAAAAAATAAAGAAAATTTAGAAGATCAAATATGAATATAAAGATCAAGACGATAAATAATAAATATTTAATCGTACATACCAGGTTAGGATATGATATCATCTCAACGAGTGGTTGCCCAACTTGATCAAACTGTTGTGGAAAGAGGCATTGTTCATTCTACGAAAAATGAAAAAAAGTCAATAAAAAAAAAAAATAAAAAAAAAATAAAAAAAATAAAATGAACTTGATATTCACCATGATAACATGATTATCATAGACAGGAGGGCACAACATTCTATTATTGTTCGTTTGACCAACGTTAACAGCATTTACATCATATAAATCAATATTGGTATTATCGATTTGAGATTGAACGAAGTGTGGTTGTAAAGGATAAAGAACTTGATTTTCCATTATATAAGTACGAAAAGATTTAATAGATCTTTTTTTTTTTTTTTTTTTTTTTGAAGAGCAACTTTTTAGATCCTTCTCACGAGCAAGAATAAAAAGCAGATGATGAGAGAAGACCTCAGAGAATTTATTGAGAAAAATTCTTTTCACTTCAAGGTTTTTCTCTGCCCTAGGGGATTAGTTTCTGACATTTTTATATATAAAAAATAGCCGCACTAATTGTAGTACAAATTATTTCCCACTTAACACCAACCAGATGGATTCGATGACGATTTAATGCAATGCGTATATATATTGTGAACTGTTCCGAACCTCCGGTGTACTTTAATAATTATGCAGTCAAAAGTAGAATAACAAATTAACAATAATTGACAGGCTAAACTTGCTTCCAAGTACTCCGATCTAGAAAAGCATTTTTTTCTATTTTTTTTTTTTTTTTCTTTTTTTTCTTTAATGGTTTTGGGGCTGTGGTAAAATGACAAAGTCGGTCACGGCCGAATCATGTAAATATTAAACTAAAACGTCTACTTGCATATCCCTCCAAAAATCAAAGAAATAACACTGCATGAAATTACCTAGCCGATCAAATACAGAAAATTTTCCTTTCTTTATAATGTGGATCTTGAACCTAAACTAACACTAAATTGAAATCGTAAATCTGTGGTCAAACTATGGCGTTACAAATCTTGTTACCTGAATAGTAAGATCGACTATTCTTAAGCAAAAATAGGAATAAATTTGGATTATTTATCTGTGCACTACTACCAAAAGATAAAAGGATACAAAAATTTCAAAAAAAAAATAAGGTGGTATGACTCGATAAATACATTTGTTAAATATTACGAAATAAGATTGGTGATGGTTTTATGCGGGATGTCTTTCATTGAATTATATGATTGGCGAGAAAGAAATCGGTAATTTTTGATTGGTGTGTTTCTTTTTTTTATATGACCAGGCGACAATCCCCCGCTATTTATATAAAACAATCATCTGAAACTTGTCGCGTCAAAAAAAGTCCGCAGCTGCTGAACTTGAAACATGATTTGTTCTCTGAAAAAGGTTACAAACCTCACATGACATCATCAACTCTCAGTTTGCTGACCCGATGGTTTAATTTATGATATTTAATTTCGGTGGTCAGTCGAGCTATATAAACCTAACATTTCAATTGGTGTACTGATTGAAATGAACTACACTATATATGATATACAAATGAGCAAGTTTTTTCTATGAATGATGTATGCGTTTTGATCAGTCAGATTACCCCTCGCATTTTGTCGCATGTAGTACCGTTTCGGGGCGCATATTATAGACACCCACAAAATGGGTTCACGGAAGTAACAAATTTAGATCTCTTAGCCTCCCTTTTGATCCTATCCCCCTTTCTCTTCACCAGATTAAAGTTTTTAATTTTATACACGTGGCGTTTCTCGTGAAAAAAATTGTAATACACAGAAAAAAAAACATGTATATACGTATAAATATAATTATCTATATTTACACATATATATATATATATATATACATATATATATATATATATATACATATATATATATATATATATTTCATGACCTTTAAGAAAATAAAAAATCCTAATTAAGGTCTGCAGAATGTAATAAATAATATGAAAGGTAACACCAAAAATATGTTGTTAGTATAATTTTAGATAATTTATTTCTTCGATATACATAGTAGGTAGATATATACATATATATATATATACATATATATCAATATATATATATATACATATATATATATATCGATATATATACTTATATATACTTATATATACGTACGTATTAATACAGTATAACGATTATTCAATTACAGTATACGAAACAGTATAACGATGATTCAATTACAGTATAACAGTATAACAGTATAACGATGATTCTAATTATAACGATATAATAATGATAATGCTTGTGGTTTATTATATCACAATGTTTGCTTACAACTTACTATGCGACATTTTAACACTAATTATATTTGGTGATACTTTTTTCGTATTGTAATAATATTACTCATGCTCTAATCTTCTTTTTTTTTGGTTCCCTATCGATCGACTGAAAAGGCTGAAAAATGTCATTTAACAAACAATGCAAATCAAGTTGGAGAGAATTTCCAAGTATTTGGTAATAATGTATTTACGTAAGTAACTGGCTGCACCGGAGCAATTAAAGGTCACACTATCGTTTATGATGACATTTAGAAATCTCGGTTTTATTTATTGCCTAAAATTTTTACCTTTAGAACATTCTAGGATTATTTTACCTTTGCTATATACCAAATGTGTGCATGAAACGATACAGCCATTTCTCTATAATCATCCTTCTTGGTAATACTTTGTCATTATTCTTTAAAACGTGATTTATTGGTACAACTTCTTATATCAAAGTTTCAAACTTTTATTTGTTATGTGTGCTTGATTGGACAGTTATGATCGAAAATAGTCTAACTGATACAACACGCAAGTAGGAGAAATGTAATTAAAGTTATATATATACTACATAACGCATCTTCATTTACTTACATATATTTCCTTATTGTATTTTGTAAACATGTGATTTCCAAATAACTACTGTAAAGTGCCGACTTGTATCCCCCCATGAGTTGTACCCGGTTTATATATCCGAATAGTACTCATACTATGTCTTAAAGAATAGTAATCTTATATTTTTTGATGAATAAAAAAAAAAAACTTTAAAGACTGACAAAGCAAAATATATTTCGGGTACATATTACATCTTTTGTCTTTGTAATTACTGAATTACCCGGATACATTAGTCAGCACTTTACGGTAACTTTTTCGGATATTGTTTGAAACATATATATGTACAATAGGAAACAATAACATTCGTAATTTTATAATTTAAAAATATTAATTGCCTTTAATTTCGGATTACATAATCATTTCAATAATTTCAATAATTATTTTTTTACCACCTACATTATTTCTTTGTAATAAAGGCGTTTTTTTTACTTTCACTTAAAAATAAGACTAAAGATCAGATATGAATTATATTAATACGTAAGTTTATTTAATTTATTTAATTTACATTATTGACATACAAAAATAATAATAATTATGAAGGAGATGCTACAGGGATAAATTTGTATTTAGTATAATTCAAGTTCGAGCTGTAAGGCAAATACAATATATTATTATTATGTTAAGGAAATAATACGATATCAATATTGATTGATTGGTATGAATTAAAAATGATCAAAAATGATCAAAAATGATCAAAAAAAAATGGATACAAATAAAAAGGAAATTTTTCGTGGATCCCGGAAATTAAGGCCATTTATGTTGTATATGTTCTGGTTTTCATTATCTAAAAATATACATATTTCTTCAACAATCTATATAAGAATACGTCTGAATTAGTATATAAACTTTTCCTAATTTCTCTTTTTTTTTCATCTTTACCTTCTCGTAATGTGATCGTGTACATAAAGTTGATGTATATATTGTTACGCAGGCAAGACAGTTATCATACCAATTGCTCCTTGGATTGAAAGCTTTTGTCAAAAGCTCATTTAATCTATTGATTGTTTGTCTAAATTGTATTGGAGTTATCTATAATGATATCATGAATAAAGAATTCAAATTAATCGCGTTAATTTCAGTTTATCTACCCTCCAAAAATATAAATATATATATAATAATTTCCAAAAATATATCATTTCTAAAAAAATTTATAAAAAAGAATTACCCGTCCTTCAATTTCTATTGGAAATGTTGTACGGAACTGACACATTTCTCCACGAGAATAATCTCTTTCTATTCGAACAATCCGTTTTGGTACTATTATTTTAGAGGTATTTATTGTCGATGTTAATGTCTCAGGTGGTGCTGTATTATAAAGGTCAGATGGTGAAGTTGGGAGTGATTGAAAGGTGTCTATGCTGTTTTTCGGTGAAGTGGAAATGTCTATCGGTACTTTAGCTGCAATTGCTGAAGTATCCGTTGTGCTACTTTTGTCACCTACAGCAACGTCCTTTTGCGTCGCTGTCGATGAGATCGTATTATCAGGTACTGAATCCTCTCCTTCAACTACTTCCTTCCTCCCCCCCGCTTCCTTTTGTTCATTTTTACATGAAATTATCTCTTCCTCTGCCACATTGTTTCGAATATTTTCCTGGCCAACAACGTTGTCCATTTAAAGGGGAGAGATGGTGAAAAGAACACTGACAAGTATTTATCAGTACATAATAAAGGTATAAAGTCAAAAAAAAAAAAACTATCTTGGTTAGTGAAATAGTAAATAATTGCACAATGCAAGTCTACGTCACTCGAAATAAATTACTAAATAAATTACGGTGGTAATTAGCATAAATAGCAGATCAAATAGATTATCATATTAAAAAAACGTTAAAAAACGTTAAAAACCTTAAGCTTTTTTTTTTTTTTTTTTTGTCTATATGTCAATACTACTTTCGAGCAGGCTTCTTACAACTTTCAAAATTATACAATTGAATAATGATAAACCACCCAAATTATTTAGAAAAGTTTTAGAACTATCTTTCTTTAGTAGGAACGTTAGAAAAAGAAAATTAGCTGTACAATTAATCCAACCGCTTTCGTCACTTGGAAATAAAGGTTTTAAAGAACTTTTACTATTATTATAAACTGAATGTATTATTATTTATTATATTATTATATCTTTATGAGCATAGGGGACATTGTAAAGGTTTCTCCAGGTACAAAAGAATAAATGTTCATATGTCTTATGTCTTAAAAACATTTGTCAAAAAAAAAAAAGTAATAAATTATTAAATTTAATTTTATTCATCGAATTTATAATTAAGGATATATGAGGCACAGATTATATCCTAATCGAATTGCCGATTACTATATACCTAAAGGACCTAAAGAAAATAAATCTGAAGATGGTAAAAAGCAAATACATCTTCTCGCCAAAGGTGGACAAATTACCCTAGCATTATATGGTCAACCTTATAAATCTGTAATTTTTTTTTTTTTTTTGTTAATTTATAATTTTTTCCATTTTAAAAAATTTTCTAAAAAATTTTATCATTTACATTTACAATTTTTTTATCAAGGGCAAAAAATTACGTGAATCTGATGAAGATCGATATGTCATGCAATATTTTCATGAATTACAAAAAACACTTTCAAAGTTGAATCATTCGCGTCATTTAATTTTTCAACGTGAATCAGCAAATGATCCTAATGATCGTTCGATCTTAAAAAAACCGGTTACGCGTGATGATATTATCAATCAAATTAAGGAATCTCTCAATTTATCCATAAACATTAATGACATTGAATTTCAGCCAGATATTTCGGATATGATTCAGAATTCAGGAAATTATACCTGTTTTGTGATGTTTCGTGAAATTGAACATAAAGTTCCATTGAAAATAGTGGTTGAAAATTAAAAAAAAATTATATATATATATAAAATGCTTTACAAAAACAGAATCTTTTCATTAATTTTATTAATCTCAGGCCTTAATTGTTAATTAGTCACGTTCATAATTATTATTATTATTATTATTAATCGCATTTTCCTTGAATTAATAAAATCAAAACCATAGAAGTCTTTTTCATAAAAATTATATGATGTTACAAATATTATGTTATTAAATTTTGATATTCACAATTTGAAACCCAATTAAATTGGCTTCAAGTTATTATTATGATCAAATATCTATAATTAAAATAATGCAGCAAAAAGAAATGATTTGTCTAAATACAATAATACAGAAGTAAAACTAAACAAATTACTATACAATACATTAAATGAGTTGCAATGAAAGAAAAAACAATAAACGTCTATTCGCTTTGCGTAGAGACAGAACTGCTGCTAACGTTTGGTTCAGAACTATCCTTGCTAGCTTCTCTAAGTAAAAATGATATCCACATATCTGAAAATGACTGGTGAAAAACCAGATATAATAACATATATATTAAGCAATTAAATCAATATTTTTCATATATAGATAATAACACTAACCTCTTTTGATGGCGGTTCTTCATTCATTCTGACTATTGTTCTTGGAATATCTTCAGATAACCTGTTTCGTGGCCTCTCAATAGTTGGAGTCCATAAACCTGTACCCCAGCCACTCGACCGTTCATCAAGTGTTTTAGTTGATGCTTTCCTGATCAATCCAACTTGTTCTTTTTGTTCCTCGCTCCACTGTAACATATTTGCCATTAATTGTAATATCTCAAAACGTTTACTATCTCCACGAGGAGTATTAAAGAAAGCTATTAAAAGATTTGTAATTAAGCGCCTAAAAATAACAAAATTATGTAAATTATGTTGCAACGCTTTGATCAAGAAACAATTAACAATTAGGAATAAAATTAATTATAATCACTAACTTATCCACATTGTTTTCACTGCTTTCTTCTCTCATGCGACGAAGAGCCTCGGTTAAATGTTCATTTAATATTACGGCTAAATAATTTAAAAATTTTAATTTTGATTTAAAATTCTATAATTAGTTATATGAAAATAATATTTTTATTGAAATTGAAAATATACCAATACTGACTTTCATGGCGTAATTTTCCAATCAACAAATTCTTTTCTTTAATCTCCTTTTCATATTGTGCCGTACGACCAATTCCTTCTTTAATTTGTGCCAATTGATTCTGTAAATATATATATATATATATATATATATGTTTTTATGCATTAATATGTACCGTGAGTTTTATTTAGTTCACCTAAACATTTTACGCCACTTTACGCGCATTAAAAAGTAATGACCAACCTCAGCTAATAATGCACGCTCTTTAAACTCGGTCAGCTCTTTACTAGTTGTAGAAAGTCGTCGTTGTATTCCTTCGATAGCCTCCCGAATTTCAGATTGTTTAGCTTATCCAAATTTTTAGAGTCAGCATTGGAAAAAAAAAAAACAACCTATTTCAATCTATCTTTACCTGCTTCAAACTCTTCCAAGACGCTCTGCAAATTAGCCAAACTCTCGGATTCATTATTCTTTTCCACTTTCAGAACTTCCTTTTCATATTTCAACGCTTCAATTTCCCTTTCTAAATGTTTTATACGAGAAAGTAACTCATTTTTGGCACTTTTTAATTCCATTGCAGATACATCTGCATCTTCCCTTTCTCTTTCAGAACGATCTAAATTTATTTGTAAATCTCTAATTATATTATCTTTTTCAGATAACTCCTGTGATGTTTGGTGTTGTACTTCATAAAGGTGCGTTTCCAGTGTTTGCAAACGTTGTGTCATACTATCATGTTCATTACGAGACAATGAAAGTTCTGATTGTAATTGAGAAATTGTATTTAAGAGTTCTTGATTATTTTTATTAAGTTTATCTATTTCTTGTTTTTTCTGATTTAAATCCTCCTAAAATAAATACAAATAAAATGATTAAAATTAAAAAAATTAAATTGTAATGAAAAAAATTTTTTTTTAAAAAAATTACCATATCTGTTTTTAATTTGTCGGCAATAGAAGTCTTGAAATTAGCCAGCTTTGCAATCAAACTCTGATGTTGTACCTCCAGTTGTTTCTTTTCATCCTGTACCTGCTCAAGCTTAGCCTTTAAATTTGATAGTTCCTGCTCTTGTATGATTAAGCCTTTTTTCTCGTCTTCAAACTGTTCAATTTGCGAACGTAATTCTGCAACCACTTTTTCGTTGTCATTGTTACTTTGTAGACTCGCAGAGTCTTCTTGAGTGTCTATTGTAGTATCTACACTAGTTCTAGAACTATTACTTTTATTCCTTTCAAATTCTAGCTGTTCTAATAAAGTACCACGTTCTTTTACCAATTCATTCTTTTCATTTTGTACTTTTTCTAGTTCGGAACGAAGATAAGTCAAAGCTTGTATTAAGGAATGTTGGTTAACCATCACAGGTTGTTCAACCATAGGTTGTTCAGCCTTTGAAGAAGTGGCTACCGAATTTTCTAATGGTGTTTGTTGAAGTTCCGCCATCGTAATTAACAAAAAAAATAAAAAATTGTATTTTTCATACTGATTGGTATGGAAATATCGATTTCGTGTAACCTTTGTGCAGTGTCACATTAGATATTTTTAATTCAGTCTAGTCGACGACAATCTTTCGATATTTAAAGTCTCAATGAGTGCTGTTAGAAGATTTAAAGCAACAGATCTATTTAAATTTAACAATGTGTAAGTGAAAAAGTATTCTATGAGATAGTTCCTCCTTAAAAATAAGAAATAGTATATATGTACATATATTTTTTCATCCAGAAACCTTGATTACTTGACCGAAACGGTAAATTTCCTTATTTTTTTTTCATATAAAATTACTTTAAACTTATACTTCCTACGATTCTTGTATGATTTGATCAATTATGATAGTATAACATTTCATTCTATCTGTCTTATCTGGCGAGATGGCCTGACCTTTTCTGCGTACAAGAATCGGCTAACGGGGCCATGATGGGATACAGTTGAGTATATATTACTTGCGTTGATTTATTATTCAAAAAATCCATTGATATATCTTTTATTTTATCTCAAGTCATGGGTAAGGCCGAAGGACGAGGTAAAGAATGGCATGGGCATGTGACAGCTATAACAGTTGCTTCCGAGTATCGACGCATAGGGTTGGCCGATGGGATGATGAAATTGTTGGAGAACGTATCAGATAAAATGTTAGTGCTTTATTTATTCTCTAATTCATGCATATTTTACTCCACATTTTATTAAACAAAGATTTTTAATATTCTAAATAAAAGCTATAATGGATATTTTGTCGATCTATTTGTCCGTGTATCGAATACTGTGGCAATTGGCATGTATAAGAAATTTGGATATTCTGTGTACAGACGTGTTATCGGTTATTATTCTTCTGGTGATAATAATGAAGAGGATGCTTTTGGTATGTTTATTTTATAATATGTATAATGCATATAGCTCTCTTTGATGTAACTTAGTACATGTTTTAAATTCGTCCTATAAATTATTTCTCAAGATATGAGGAAACCTTTACCAAGAGATGAGAATAAAGAAAGTATTATTGAGAACGGTGAACAGAATCTTGTAAAACCAGAAGATTTATAGCATTAGGAGGTTAACTTTTTAAAGTTTTGTTATTACATAATTTGATTTCTATCCTATGCTAATTTATGTAATTCTATAGATGCAATTAATGTTCTCAA